CTTTCTTTCTTTCTTTCTTTCATTCTCGAGCTCTCTCGAATATTTTACAACACGAATACAACACGATACAACAGTTGTCGGTACAGTTGTACCCGATTCGTTAATCGCGCATACGACACAACGTACAACGTAAGCAGATGTGTTGGTGGTAGGTTGGTAGAACTTGCGGGTTTTCTCCGTTTGATTTTCGTTCGTCGTCGTACGGACGAGGAAATGAATGAATTTTCGTTTCTTTCGCATACGAGATTACGAGCCACGATCGATGTAGTCCGTCGTCGTCACGAGGACACGAGGCGGGAAAATCTTGGAGAGCCATCTCCAAGGAGAAAAAACCCCGGTGAAAAACGGTTGTGAATCAATTCGTGGAAACGCGAACGGTCTAACTGTTTCACCATTCGCATCCTTGTCCGGTACTTGTAGGGCTGCGGGAACGGCAATGGATAATACACATCCCATTTATCGGATTTTACGGATTGCGTAAGAGTATTTAATGGGCTACGCGAGTCCGTGGTTGGCTCGCTTAGCTGCTTTGCCAAAGACTCGATCGATCGATGCGGTTTCACTTTTTTTTTCTTCTTTCTTTCTTTCTTTCTTTCTTTCTTTTCTTTTCTTTTTTTTCCCTCTTTACTCCATTCCTGCTCGATCTATTATATTCCCTTTACCTCCCATATGCGCCCATTATCTTGCGGGGGCAGTTGATAAGCTTCGTTGACACGAAACTGCCATCGGGAATATCTACGTTATTGGATCATTAGTCGTAGCTGCGTAATCCCCTCGTCGAATTCATTAGCGGTGTTGCCAAGGTAATAAGTCGCCGTTTAGCGACATTTTGCACTCTCGAAACGGTGAAGTTGAACGCGTTCAAGTTGAAGTGAGATTTCGAGACGATTCGAGGCGAGAGGCAGAGCTTTCTCTCTTTGCCAAAGAGTGCAACAGATTCGGCAAAGAGATCCATCCATCACGATGGTAACCGTGGTAAAAATCTCCCGTGTTTGTTTCCCGCTTCGAATCGTGGAAATGGAAAGGCGGAGGGAAAAGGAAAAGAGGAGGAGGAGGAGGAGGAGGGGAGGGGGGGAGGACAGGAGGAGGATTGCATCGCAGGAGAGGAACAGAGAGAGAGAGAGAGAGAGAGAGAGAGAGAGAGAGAGAGAGAGAGAGAGAGAGAGAGAGAGAGAGAGAGAGGAG